TCCCTCCTAAGCCCTTCCCATCCATGTACCTTTAAATTTTTTTAAAATGTTGGCTATTGTACCTGCCTCAATCATTTTTTCTGGCAGTCTATTCCATGTACACATCTCTCTCTCTCTGTCTGTCTCTCTCTTTGTCTCTCTCTCTCTGTCTCTCTCTTTGTCTCTCTCTCTCTGTCTCTCTCTCTCTTTGTCTCTCTCTCTCTTTGTCTCTCTCTCTCTTTGTCTCTCTCTCTCTTTGTCTCTCTCTCTCTGTCTGTCTCTGTCTGTCTGTCTCTCTCTTTGTCTGTCTCTGTCTGTCTCTCTCTTTGTCTGTCTCTGTCTGTCTGTCTCTCTCTGTCTGTCTCTGTCTCTCTCTCTCTCTTTGTCTGTCTCTGTCTGTCTCTGTCTCTCTCTCTCTTTGTCTGTCTCTGTCTCTCTCTCTCTCTTTCTCTGTCTGTCTCTGTCTCTCTCTCTCTCTCTCTCTTTCTCTGTCTGTCTCTGTCTCTGTCTCTGTCTCTCATGAAGAGGTTGCCCTTCAGGTTCTCCTTAAATCCTTGCCCTCTAACCTTAAACCTATGTTCTTGAGTTTTCAATTCCCCATTCCTGGGGGGAAAAAAGACCAAATGCATTCATCCTATCTATGCCCCTCATGATTTTATACACCTCAGTAAGGTCACTCTTCATTCTCCTACGTTCCAAGGAATAAAGTCCTATCCTGACCAATCTCACCCTATAACTCAGGCCTACTAGTCCTGGCAACATCCTTGTAAATCTTCTTTGCACACTTTCCAGCTTAACTATGTCTTTCCTATAACAGGGTGACCAAAACTGTACACAATGCTCCAAGTGCGGCCTCACCAATGACTTCTACAACTCTAACGCAATGTCCCAACTCCTATACCCAATGCCTCGACCAATGAAGGTCAGCATGCTAAATGCCTTCTTCACCGCCCTGTCCACCTGGTGATGCCTCTTTCAACGAACTATGTGCTTGTACTTCTAGGCCCCTCTGTTCCACAGCACTCCTCAGGACCTTACCATTTACCATTCCTACCTTGGTTTGGCTTTCCAAAGTGCAAGACCTCACCCTTATCTGCATTGAATTGCATTTGCCAGTCCTCAGCCCAATTCCCTATCTGATCAAGATCCCTCTAATTTTTGATAACTTTCCTCGCTATCGACGATACATCCTAATTTTGTTTCATCTGCAAACTTACTAATCATGTCTTGTACATTCACATCCAGATCACTGATGTAAATAACAAATAATAAAGGTCCCAGCATCGATCCCTGTGGCACACCACTAGTCACAGGCCTCCCATTAGAGAAACAACCTTCAACCATTACCTTCTGCTTCTACCATCGAGCTAATTTTGAATCCAATTAGCCATCTCTCCCTGGATCCCATGTGACCTTATCTTCATGACTGGCTCACAGTGTGGGACATCGTCAAAGGCCTAAGTAAAGTCCATATAGACAACATGCACTGCCCTACCCTCAACTATCCTCTCGGTTACCTCTTCAGAAAACTCTTAACAGATTTGTCAGACATTGTTGAACTTGATATTGAGTCTGGAAGGCTGTACTGTTAAAGTTAGCTTTATCAGTACTGCTGAACGCTTGAATGTCTGTGAGCCCTGCTCTCTAGACTTGAATAATGAAAAGGAGATGTCCATGTTAATCACAGATTTCGAAGATTTTAAACATGGTGACAGCCTCCTGCACTTGTGAAACACCCACTGACCAAATATTCAATAAAATCCAAAAGAACTGCAGATGCTGTAAATCAGGAACAAAAACAAAGTTGCTGGAAAAGCTCAGCAGGTCTGGCAGCATCTGTGGTGGAGAAAACAGAGTTAACGTTTCAGGTCCGGTGACCCTTCCTCAGAACTGATGGTGGCTGGGAAAACGTCAGTTTATATGCAGAAAATAGGGAGGTAGGTGAGGTAGGGAGTAAACGATAAGATAGAGCCCAAAAAGAGAGAGAAAGACAGTTGGACAGACAAAGGAGTTGCTAACGATCAGGCTGGGAGGG